TGACAGTATTGGCCTCTGGGAGCTATCCCAGAGTGCTCCAGTGTGACCCCTCTGGACAGCACTTTGAACTCTGGTGCACTAGCCAAGTACACAGGAAAAGCCCTCGGAAATTTTGAATTTCATTTCCTGTTTGGTCAGTGTGGTGAGCTCAGCAGCACAGGTGACCACGCAGTCCCCCCAGAATTGCAAACAAGGTCCAGCAAGGACCGAAAGGGAGACAATGGATATGATTGCTGTATAGGGAGAAGAATCTGTGCAGGCCGAACTCCGATCAAAAAGAAGAAATGCTAATACACCAGACCCTCACTAGAACTTGGGATTTGGGATCCATGCAAGGTATTGCATTAACACGGGGACCTCATTATAGAAGGGACCATGTTAAAATGAATTCCAATTAAAATAATTAAATTTGGGATTCATGGCCGTGACCACATTATATGTGAACTCATGCTATATTGATGCGAGTTCTAGCAAGGGTTCGGTGTATATATGACAAAATCGCACAGGGCATGGTGGAGAGAGGCTACAACGGTGCTGCATGAAAGTGAAGTAGCTCAGGCAAGCATATTAAAAGACAAAGGAGGCAAACTGTCGCTCCGGGTCAGAGCTCCATACATGCCACTTCTATGATCAGCTGCATGGCATTCTAGGGAGGGACCCTACCACTACCCCACCACTGTCCATGGACACCTGCAAGGGGGGAGTCTCACACAACAGGGAGGAGGATTTTGTGGATGAGGAAGAGAAGGAGGAGGAGAACGTGCAGCAGGCAAGTGGTGAATCCATTCTCCCTGGCAGCCAGGACCTTTTCATCACCCTGGAGCCAATACCCTCCCAAGGCATGATCCCCAACCCTGAAGCCGGAGAAGGCAGCTCTGGTGAGTGCACATTTGTAACTACAGTACAGGGTTTAAAAGCAATAGTGTTTAATGTTTCATTTTTCCTGAAGAATTGGGATGCATTCACGGCCAGTACAGCTACTGGAAAAGTCTGTTAACGTGTCTGGGGATGGAGCGGGAATTCTCCAGGGACAGCTCCATGAAGCTTTCCTGGAGGTACTGTGAAAGCCTTTGCAGAAGGTTTCTGGGGAGGGCTGCCTTATTTTGTCCTCCACGGTAGGACACTTTACCACGCCAAGCAAGTAGCATGTAGTCTGGAATCATTGCAGCACAAAGTATGGCAGCGAATGGTCCTGGGTTTTGGTCGCATTCAAGCAACATTTGATCTATATCTTTCTGTGTTTGCCTCAGGAGAGTGATATCATTGATGGTCACCTGGTTGACATAGGGGAATTTTTGTAAGGGAATAGTAAAAGGACCCCGTTCATGCTGGGTTATTTGTGCTTGGCTAAAAGGGATCCTCCCAGAAAATAGCCATGAGGCGGGGGGAGGGGTGAAGGGATCATTCCAGAAAATAGCCACATGGTGGGGTGTGGGGAGATGTGTGCTGCACATTCACCCAAAAACCGCAGCCCCTCCTTTTAAATGTGAAACCCAACCGGCATTGCTTGCTATGGGAAAGGATGGCGCTGCAGTTTGAAACCATTCCCACATGTTATGAATGCATAAGAAGCCAACCCTGCGTACCAAAAGGCTTACCATGGCTGCCTGGAAACCGAATTCTGTTGCCCAGTCATTTGTGATGTGTCACCATACTGGCAGGCGCTCAATATAAAAGGCAAAATGCGCTCTTGTACCTAAAGCACATGTGCTGTCTGCTGTGAATTGCTTGATTCACTGTGAAAGAGTCTCCCTTTTGTTCTCAGAAATATATCATCTTAAATTTTACTCTCCCTTTTTATCTCTCACCAGGTGCAAATGTTTATATGCTCCCCCTATCATCTACGTCCCTGAGGTTATCACAGACTAAAAGGCAAAAAAAACTTACTCGCAATGACATGTTTTCTGAGCTCATGCAGTCCTGCCACACTGACAGGGCTCAGCTTAATGCACGGAGGCATTCAGTGGCAGAGGCCATGAAAGCATTAAGTGAGCATGAATAGCAGAGGCAGGAGGCGATGCTGAGGCTAATGGGGGAGCAAACGGACATGATGAAGCACCTGTTGGAGCTGCAGGAAAGCCAACAAGAGCACAGACCCCCACTGCATCCATTGTATAACCACCTGCCCTCCTCCCCAAGTTACATATCCTCCTCACCCAGATGCCCAAGAACACAGGTGGGGAGGCTCCGGGCACCCAGCCACTCCACTCCAGAGGATGGCCCAAGCAACAGAAGGCTGTCATTCAAACAGTTTTGATTTGTAGTGTGGCTACAATAAGCAATGGGGCCTTGTCCTTCCCTCCTCCCACACCCCACCCCACCCTGGGCTACCTTGTCAGTTATCTCACTTTTTTTTTAATTAATAAAGAAAGAATGAATGGTTTCAAAACAATAGTTACTTTATTTTTCTTTGCCAGCTGTGATTGAAGTGGGGAGCGTGGTTGGCTTACAGGGAATTAAAATCAACAAAGGGGGCAGGTTTGCTGCAAGGAGAAACACACAACTGTCACCGTAGCCTGGCCAGTCATGAAACTGGTTTTCAAAGCCTCTCTGATGTGCAGCAGGCCTAGCTGTGCTCATCTAATCGCCCTGGAGTCTGGCTGCTCAAAATCGGCCGCCAGGTGATTTGCCTCAACCTCCCACCCCGCCATAAATGTCTCCTCCATACTCACACAGCAAGCAGCAATAACTATGGGAATGTTGGTTCGCTGAGGTCTAACCTAGTCAGTAAACACTGCCAGCGAGCTTTTAAACGTCCAAAGGCACATTCTACCACCATTCTGCACTTGCTCAGCCTGTAGTTGAACTGCTCCTTACTACTGTCCAGGCTGCCTGTGAACAGCTTCATGAGCCGTGGAAACAAGGGGTAGGCTGGGTCCCCAAGGATAACTATAGGCATTTCAACATCCCCAACAGTTATTTTCTGGTCTGGGAATAAAGTCCCTTCCTGCAACTGGCAGAAGAGCCTGGAGTTCCTGAAGATGCGAGCGTCGTGCACCTTTCCCAGCCATCCCACGTTGATGTCGGTGAAACGTCCCTTGTGATCAACCAGTGTTTGCAGCACCATTGAGAAGTACCCCTCAGGGTTTACGTCCTGGTTGGCAATGTGCTCCAGTGCCAAAATAGGGACATTCGTTCCGTCTATCACCCCACCACAGTTAGGGAACCCCATTGCAGCAAAGCCATCCAGTATGACCTGCACATTTCCCAGAGTCACTACCCTTGATAACAGAACATCAGTGATTGCATTGGCTACTTGGATCACAGCAGTCCCCTCAGTAGACTTGACCGCTCCAAACTGATTCCCAACTGACCGGTATCAGTCAAGCATTGCAAGCTTCCACAGGGCTATTGCCACTCACTTCTCAACCATCAGGGCAGCTCTCATCTTGGTATTCCTGTGCTGCAGGGCAGGGGAAAGCAACTCACAAAGTTCAAGGAAAGTGGCTTTATGCATACAAAATTTTGCAGCCACTGTGAATCATCCCATACCTGCAACACTATGTGGTCCCACCAGTCTGTGCTTGTTTGCCCAGATTCGGTGTTCCACTGTATCAACTAGCACCACTGCCGCCATGATGTCCTAATTCCCACAGCCCGTGCTTTCAGGAATGTCTGTGTCCATGTCCTCATCATAATCGTCCTTGTCCTGGCATCTCTTAGCCCGGTTCTGCACATACTGCAGGATAATGTGTGAGGTGTTTACAATGCTCACAACAGCAGTGGTGAGCTGAGCGGGCTCCACGCTTGCTGTGGTATGGCGTCTGCATGGACAACCCAGGAAAAAAGGCACGAAACCATTGTCTACCATTGCTTTCACAGAGGGAGGAAGGGAAGGGCGACTGACGACATGTACCCAAAACCACCCTCAACAATGTTTTTTCCCCATCAGGCATTGGGAGATTAACCCAGATTTCCTATGGGCAATGGAGACTGAGGGAACTGTGGGATACCTACCCACAGTGCACCGCTCCGTAAGTCAATGCTAGCCACGGTATTGAGGACACACTCCGCCGACTTAATGCACTTAGCGGGGACATACACAATCAACTGTATGAAATCGATTTCTAAAAATTGACTTCTATAAAATTGACCTAATTTTGTAGTGTAGACATACCCTTACAATGGGGCTTAGGCTCAGAAATGCATAAAACACTTTTGAAAGTGAATTTTTTTTGAAAAGTCATAATGGTTAGATAAATTTCTTAAATAGCTTTGTGAAAGAGAAGTCAAAATGTTTTGATCCCAAATAGTCAAAATAAAACATTCTGAAACAAAAAGTTGAAATGTTTCAGTTCAAAATAGCCAAAACTAATTAAAATACTCATTAAAAATGAAATGTTTCATTAAACCAAAACCATTTTGCTTCTTTTCTTTTCTTTTTCTTTTCTTTTCTTTTTGTTGTTTTGTTTGAGCAAGAAAAAATGAAAAAAGTCAGTTAAAAATGATTTTTGTTAGTTTTGGCTAGTTTTGACACCCCCCCCAAACCCCCCCCCCAAAAAAAACCAATTAGTCTCTCAGCCCTGGTCTACACTAGGAGTTTAGGTCGAATTTAGCAACATTAAATCGATGTAAACCTGCACCTGTCCACACAATGAAGCCCTTTTTTTCAACTTAAAGGGCTCTTAAAATTGATTTCCTTAATCCACCTCTGACAAGTGCTTAAATTAGCGCTTAAATCGGCCTTGCCGGGTCGAATTTGGGGTACTGTGGACGCAATTAGATGGTATTGGCCTCCGGGAGCTATCCCAGAGTGCTCTATTGTGACCGCTCTGGACAGCACTCTCAACTCAGATGCACTGGCCAGGTAGACAGGAAAAGGCCCGCCAACTTTTGAATTTCAGTTTCCTGTTTGCATGGTCACCTGCAGTTTGCCACGCTGGCCAGACTCATCAGCAGAGGTGACCATGATGGAGTCCCAGAATCGCAAAAGAGCTCCAGCATGGACTGAACGGGAGGTACGGGATCTGATCACTGTATGGGGAGAGGAATCCGTGCTATCAGAACTCCGTTCCAGTTTTTGAAATGCCAAAACCTTTGTCAAAATCTCCCAGGGCATGAAGGACAGAGGCAATAACAGGGACCCGAAGCAATGCCGCGTGAAACTTAAGGAGCTGAGGCAAGCCTACCAGAAAACCAGAGAGGCAAACGGCCGCTCCAGGTCAGAGCCCCAAACATGCCGCTTCTATGATGAGCTGCATGCCATTTTAGGGGGTTCAGCCACCACTACCCCAGCCGTGTTGTTTGACTCCTTCAATGGAGATGGAGGCAACACAGAAGCAGGTTTTGGGGATGAGGAAGATGATGATGATGAAGTTGTAGATAGCTCACAGCAAGCAAGCGGAGAAACCGGTTTTCCCGACAGCCAGGAACTGTTTCTCACCCTGGACCTGGAGGCAGTCCCCTCCGAACCCACCCAAGGCTGCCTCCCAGACCCGCCAGGTGGAGAAGGGACCTCTGGTGAGTGTACCTTTTAAAATACTATACATGGTTTAAAAGCAAGCATGTTTAATGATTAATTTGCCCTGGCATTTGCGGCTCTCCTGGATGTACTCCCAAAGCCTTTGCAAAAGGTTTCTGGGGAGGGCAGGCTTATTCCACCCACCATGGTAGGACACTTTACCACACCAGGCCAGCAGCACGTACTCGGGAATCATTGTAGAACAAAGCATTGCAGTGTATGGTTGCTGGCATTCAAACAACATCCATTCTTTATCTCTCTGTGTTATCCTCAGGAGAGTGATATCATTCATGGTCACCTGATTGAAATAGGGTGTTTTTCTTAAGGGGACATTCAGAGGTGTCCGTTCCTGCTGGGCTGTTTGCCTGTGGCTGAACAGAAATGTTCCCCACTTTTAGCCATGGGGGGCGGTGAGGGGCTAGCCATGTGGTGGGGGGAGGCAAAATGCGACCTTGGAATGAAAGCACATGTACTATGTATGTAATGTTAACAGCAAGGTTTACCATGAAACAGTGTACCCATTGTTCTATAAAATGTGTCTTTTTAAATACCACTGTCCCTTTTTTTTCCTCCAGCAGCTGCATGTGTTTCAAGGATCACAGGATCTTCTCCTTCCCAGAGGCTAGCGAAGATTAGAAGGCGAAAAAAACGCACTTGCAATTAAATGTTCTCTGAGCTCATGCTGTCCTCCCACACTGACATAGCACAGATGAATGCATAGAGGCAGACAATGTCAGAGTGCAGGAAAGCACAATATGACCGGGATGAGAGGTGGCGGGCTGAAGAGAGTAAGTGGCGGGCTGAAGGGAGTAAGTGGAGGGCTGAAGAGAGGGCTGAAGCTGAAAGGTGGCGGCAGCGTGATGAGAGGAGGCAGGATTCAATGCTGAGGCTGCTGGAGGATCAAACCAATATGCTCCAGCGTATGGCTGAGCTGCAGGAAAGGCAGCAGGAGCACAGACCGCCACTACAACCCCTGTGTAGTCAACCACCCTCCTCCCCAAGTTCCATAGCCTCCTCACCCAGACACCCAAGAACGCGGTGGGGGGGCCTCCGGCCACTCCACCCCAGAGGATTGCCCAAGCAACAGAAGGCTGGCATTCAAAAAGTTTTAAACTTTTAAAGTGCTGTGTGGCCTTGTCCTTCCCTCCTCCACCACCCCTCCTGGTGCTTCTCTCCTCCACCACTCCTCCTGGGCTACCTTGGTAGTTATCCCCCTATTTGTGTGATGAATGAATAAAGAATGCATGAATGTGAAGCAACAATGACTTTATTGCCTCTGCAAGCAGTGATCGAAGGGAGGAGTGGAGGGTGGTTAGCTTACAGGGAAGTAGAGTGAACCAAGGGGCGGTGGGTTTCATCAAGGAGAAACAAACAGAACTTTCACACCGTAGCCTGTCCAGTCATGAAAACTGGTTTTCAAAGCTTCTCTGATGCGCACCACGCCCTCCTGTGCTCTTCTAACCGCCCTGGTGTCTGGCTGTGCAAAACCAGCAGCCAGGTGATTTGCCTCAACCTCCCATCCCACCATAAACGTCTCCCCCTTACTCTCACAGATATTGTGGAGCTCACAGCAAGCAGTGATAACAGTGGAAATATTGGTTTCACTGAGGTCTAACTGAGTCAGTAAACTGCGCCAGCGCGCTTTTAAACGTCCAAATGCACATTCTACCACCATTCTGCACTTGCTCAGCCTGTAGTTGAACAGCTCCTGACTACTGTCCAGGCTGCCTGTGTATGGCTTCATGAGCCATGGCATTAAGGGGTAGGCTGGGTCCCCAAGGATACATATAGGCATGTCAGTGTCCCCAACGGTTATTTTCTGGTCTGGGAATAAAGTCCCTTCTTGCAGCTTTTGAAACAGACCAGAATTCCTGAAGATGTGAGCGTCATGTACCTTTCCCAGCCATCCCACATTGATGTTGGTGAAACATCCCTAGTGATCCACCTGTGTTTGCAGCACTATTGAAAAGTACCCCTTGCGGTTTATGTACTCACTGGCTTGGTACTCTGGTGCCAAGATAGGGATATGGGTTCCGTCTATGGCCCCACCACAGTTAGGGAATCCCATTGCAGCAAAGCCATCCACTATGACCTGCACATTCCCCAGGGTCACTACCCTTGATATCAGCAGATCTTTGATTGCGTTGGCTACTTGCATCACAGCAGCCCCTACAGTAGATTTGCCCACTCCAAATTGATTCCCGACTGACTGGTAGCTGTCTAGCGTTGCAAGCTTCCACAGGGCTATTGCCACTCGCTTCTCAACTGTGAGGGCTGCTCTCATCTTGGTATTCTTGCACCTCAGGGCAGCGGAAAGCAAGTCACAAAGTTCCATGAAAGTGCCCTTACGCATGCGAAAGTTTTGCAACCCCTGGGAATCGTCCCAGACCTGCAACACTATGTGGTCCCACCAGTCTGTGCTTGTTTCCCGAGCCCAGAATCGGCATTCCACTGCATGAACCTGCCCCATTAGCACCATGATGCCCACATTACCAGGGCCCATGCTTTGAGAGAAGTCTGTGTCCATGTCCTCATCACTCACGTCATCGCGCTGATGTCGCCTACTCACCCGGTATCGCTTTGCCAGGTTCTGGTGCTGCATATACTGCTGGATAATGCGTGTGGTGTTTAATGTGCTCCTAATTGCCAAAGTGATCTGAGCAGGCTCCATGCTTGCTGTGGTATGGCGTCTGCACAGAAAAAAGGCGCGGAACAATTGTCTGCTGTTGCCCTGATGGAGGGAGGGGGGACTGACGACATGGCTTACAGGGTTGGCTTACAGGGAATTAAAATCCACAAAGGGGATGGCTTTGCGATAAACTGAATGGCCCCCTCAAGGATAGAACTCAAAACTGGGTTTAGCAGGCCATTGATTTCACAGAAGGAAGGAGGGAGGGAGGAGAAAATGAATACAAAACAAATCTGATCTATTTCTTGTTTTGAGCCACTTCATCTATCTTTATACATCTTGCTGGCAGCAGACTGTGCAGTACGACCGCTAGCCATCATCATCTCCTGGGTGCTTGGCAGAAGATGGTGCAGTATGACGACTAGCCATCATCTTCTGCTGGCTGGAGGTTAAAAGACAGCGCACTGCCGGTAGGACTGAATCGCCATGAGACAAAACTTAAAAGGGAAATAACTTGGCTGAGTCACTCCCATGTTTGCCTAGGCGCCTGATTAAAAGAGCACCCTGGACTACGTCGATGATGGCTACCAGTCATACTGCACTGTCTGCTGCCAAAAGGCAATTAACTGCTGCTGTGTAGCAATGCAGTACCACGTCTGCCAGCACCCCGGAAACATACGGTGACGGTTAGCTGAGCAGACTCCATGCTTTGCATGGTATGGCATCTGCACAGGTAACTCAAGAAAAAAGGTGCAAAACGATTGTCTGCCCTTGCTTTCACGGAGGGAGGGAGGGAATGGGGGCCTGACGATATGTACCCAGAACCACCCGCAACAATGTTTTAACCCCATCAGGCACTGGGATTTCTACCCAGAATTCAAATGGGCGGCGGAGACTGCGGGAACTGTGGGATAGCCACCCACAGTGCAACGCTCCGGAAGTCGACGGTTGCCTCGGTACTGTGGACACACTCCGCCGACTACATCCACTTAGAGCACTTGTGTGGGGACACACACAATCAACTGTATAAAACCGCTTTCTACAAAACTGACTTCTATAAATTCGACCTAATTTTGTAGTGTAGACATAGCCTCAGCTGTAGTCAAGACCTATTTTCTATAAAACCATGTTGACTGGCATTAATTATCATTCTGTCCTTTAATTCTTTATCAATTGAAACCCATGTCAGCTTTTCCATTATTGTGCCTTGGATTGAGGGCAGGCTAACTGGCCTATAGTTACCTGAATCATCTCACTTGCCCTTCTTGAATATTGGTCCAGGATTAGCACTCTTCCATTTTCTGACAGGTTTCAGTGCCTTGCATAATGACAGTTTTTTTCTGGAATTTCTCCAAGTCAGTTGGGTGCTTTTGAAAATATTGTCCCTGGACTATATGCCTCCACAAGACAATAAGGCTACATTTATACTTGGAGATAAGGGTGTGATTCCCAGCTTGCATCCTGAGTACCCCCCGACCCCCAAGTCCTGGGGCAATGTACTCAGCATGGCGAGCAGGTGTTGCTGCTGCCTTCGCTACCCCAGCTACACTGCTACTTTTAGCATGCTAGCATATCTCTGTGAGCTGGAAATTACATCCCCAGCTCCCAGTGTAGACATACCCTAAGAGGGAGTAAGTAATTTTTAGACTCTGCTCTACCTGTTCCTTGGGCCTGGCAGCATATGAAGGAGCAAGCTATTTACCTTGCAGGAGCAAGTGAGTGAGGAGTGAATGGGGAATGGGCAGGGCCGTATTTGCTGTTCAGAGTAGATGGATGGTTAGTAATCAACTGCTGCTATAGGGAAGTGCTCAATCGCTGCATCCTTGCCCCGATAGCAAGAAGGAAGGAGGGGAGAATTTTGACTCAGAAGTGGGTCACTATGCCTCCCAGGGACATTCCTGTTGACACTATTCGGAGTCACTGTGCCTCCCAGGGACATTTCTGTTGGTGCAGTTTACACCCTTGTTCAGGGCTTTGCTGAAGTCACAGCCTAGCACATGCAATTTTCATTCTCATAAGAGAAGGAGAGCCCTTTGCCTGCTGGAAATGGAAAGGTCCTTTAGAAGAAGAGAGAAGCAGACCTATGTCTACAGTGTATTTCTTTGCCATTTTTATGAGCTGTTTGTGGAATTAGCCCTTGTTGTTTCATCTCTCTCCAAACTGTCTCTCTCGTGTAAACTTGTGTTTTCTAAAATAATGGTATCTCCCACTAGGGAAACAAGGCAGAGTTTTTAGCATTTGCTCTGGAATGTTTGCTGAATGGCTTAAAGGCATGATAAAACATTTTTCCAGCAGCTTATTTCAAGAGTTTATTTAATATAGCTATCAAAGAAATTGATATTCTAATACCAAGCAACATCCAGGAGTGCTGATTCATAAGGAACAAATTTTGTTTATTAAAAAAAAGGTAATGAATCTTTCCAATTCCTTTTGAGTGTATTGAAGCCCAATCAGCTCTCCATCACCAATCATTCCTTCCGTTTGTGCAGAAAAGAGATTATCACTGGACAGTTATGTGGTTAATAAAGCAAATATATAGTAGACATATTTTTCATTTCCATATCAATAGCCATGTGAGAATGAAACAGTCATGAAGCTAGTTTTTCCCATGGCAGAATTCAAGTGATGAAGGTGACAAATTTTTACAATGTGTTGACCTGAGAGGCCCAGAATAACAAGGTGTAGAATGAAGAAGGGTGTGTGGAAAACAAACCCCGGCTTAGGAATGAAAAAGAAATATTGTCTGTACACTGCAAACACTCATATGCCACGAAGGGCTGAGAAAAGTAGCAGGCTCAAGTTTGGGATAGTGAGAAAATGGAAGGCATATTTTAAAGACAGAGTTTTGTGCAATATTCCATTTTTGAGGTACCTACAGTTAAAAATAAAGTATTTCAAGAAGCATTCATTCCTGGAAGTATTTAGAGGCTATCTGAGAGATGATGGATTTACAAAGTCTCATGGGGGGAAAATGGCACATAGCATGTATATGACCCAACACAAATATGTCAGGGAGGCTGCTGAATTGGTACCAGTTTTGTGCTGTGGAATACTTT